GCCTTTATACCTTGTTTCATTCCTTGATATATATACCTGGCGCACCCTCTTATTCCCTTGGGGTTTTCTCGCCTGTCTTCATCTTGGAACTTGTTGATTGGCGAATGATGAGTCTCGACACCCCTATATAAATATGATGATCGCCTTATTGACTCAAGAGCACGGTGCTGAACTATGAAGTCTTCCTCCAGCATCTAGATATCATTCTAAGAAGTGCGTGGCCTGGAGGAATGCCTGTCTCATGGCGAAACACCAAAAAAGCTTCCACGTCTTCATTCACTCACCTTTGTACTCGTGCAATGAAAGCTACCCAGCTGTCAAGAAGCAATTGCCAACATGTCTATATACCAATCTGGTATCATATACCAGTCTTTTGGAATCCTCCTGCAACGCTCGTCTTCGGCGTTCTGCTTTGCGATCTGGCCCTACACCTCATGTATCATCGTATCACATGCATTTCTTTCAGCTCTTCATCATTCCATCCCAAAGCACTCATACCTTGACACGAAGAGCAATGCCTTTTCTCTCACAAGTCATTCGCTACTCCTTTTCCCGCTTCTTCATTCACCGGGACCCCATCACACTTTGAGAATCATGTCGCCTAGGCCTCTGTCCATTCTTCATCCTTTTCCTCCAAGGCACTTGTCCCCTAACTCGAATAGCGCCCGTCACGGCCCCTCTTATTCAGAAGAATCTTTAACTCGAGACCTGAGAGCATGGGCTTGTAATATTGGATGTGTGACCACAACGTGCACAACAGCAAGGTATGCCCAGCTTCCCTTCCGGCCTCATCCTCATAGGCCTCCCTTTAGTTCTTCTCTGGGATACTTAGACTAACACAATTGGATATATGCTAGCAGCCCTTTCGTGATGGTATATATACTGTCCAGTCTCAGACACAATTCACTCCCAATGCCGAAGCGATAAGATAACACTCTTGTTCGGTGTCCAGGGTGTCCTTATATATAGTCGCATGGCACACCTGTCAACACTCAGAGATTCCGCCCCCGTTTGAACGTATAGCGGCGGAGCCTGGCTCACGGATATCGTCACTGTTTTGCCGACCCCGTCGAAGTGGCAAACTAGCCGGACGATGGGGTGCAGGGGAACCCTTTGGGAGACTGCGACGCCCTACTTCGCTACGGTCCAGTACATATCGCTCGAGGGGAGTGCGCGAGCGTGCCTGAAAGAAACCGGCCAACGATCCTATCACCTCCTCAGGCAGGTTTGCGGCAAAGGGCAATTTGAAAGAGATGGATAGATCTCATCACTATCCAAACATCCTGTGGCATTGACAGAACTCGGGATGTGGCAAGCAGGACCATGTATAAGCGAACCGACGTACCCCATTGCAAAGAGCAGCTAAGATTCTTGACTATAAAGGTTGGGGGTTGCCGGGAGGGTCTGACGGCTTGTAGGTGGACATTTGCGGCAATCGCACGAGAAAAGGATAATGGATATCGTCATTAATTTTGTATTCATCAGCAAATCTGAAAAGGGCTGAATAAAACAAGATATATGCCTTGGCTGTATTCTTGTTGTGCTGAGCCAAGATTCTATCTCCAGTGATGTGGACGATACTGCGAATCGAGCTCATGACACAGGCCAAAAAAGAGACAATAGGAACCATTAATAGAAATTGCCTACAAGTTAACAGAAAAGAATTCATTCGATCAGTTATACATGGTGAAAACAGTTGTGAAGTTCTGAGAAGTGTTACGGCGACTGAGGTCGTGTGACCGAAGGAAGGGATCTGCGCCCATATGCAAGGTGACCACCACCACATTTCACTTCATAGCGACCAAGACTTGGAACTATTATTGAGATCAAATTAATTCATTTTGTTCTAATCAATAAAAATCATTACAATGAGCAAGCAGCTTGACGGAATCCAAGAGCGCTCGACTCTCCCGCTAAATCAGGCAGGCGGTGACAGTCGTCAAAATAGACGTCGCCCAGCAGCCAGTCGCTTGACATCATGGATGCTTTGACAAAAGATCACAGTGTCATTGACCACACAACACATTTCTCATCAGCTGGAATTTCTTAACCTAACAACTTCAAGGCGTCTGAATTCTGTACCAAAACTCTTGTTTCCTGTACAGCTGCAGTGTCGGCTCCCATTGACTGTCAATATGGCCATCGTTGAAGGGTGGCTGCCACCCACCCGGGAGCATTACGACCTCATCCTCAAAATCTGGCAAATCTCTTATCCGATTGTGAGTGGCACAGCACGTGCTCCTGCACCGCACATGTTCTGACAATACCCATAGGTCGGTTCAATCCAATGGCTTACCAAATGGTATGGCATGGGCAAGACATCGGTGGCCAGCCGCCTGAACCTCCCAGGCCGCATAGGCTGGTTGACCATGGAGGCCCCAGGCTTCCTGACGTTGTTGTACCTCATGAAGACCCTTCCTGAGCAGCACAGCATTGATGATCTACCTTGGCAGAATAAGGTGCTTGCGGGCTTGTTTGTAAGTTACCCGTGCCCGTTGCCGTTGCCGTTAAGGGGAGCCGAAGCTAGCTTGGGACCTCGGGATCGTGCAGTGGCGCCTTATGAGGGGATAGCTAACGCAACACGCAGGTAATCCACTACTCTTACCGCGCCGTCATGTTCCCCTATCTCCAACCATCCATGTCACCACTTCACATCGCGGTGTGGCTGCTTGGGGTCAGCTTTCAGATCTTCAACGCAACTTGTCTGGGCTCCTGGCTTGCTGCCTACGGCCCAACCACTGAGGAAGCATGGGCCTCGCAGTCGTCCATCCTCCAGTTCTCAGCTGGCATCCTCATCTTCTATCTTGGACTGTCGGGCAACTTCTTTCACGATGAGGAACTCCGAGAGATCCGCCGAAGGGAGGCCCAACGGGCTCAGCGCGACGAGGCCAAGGCGAACGTGGAGAAGCACTATCAGATCCCGCAGGCGGGTTTGTTTAGGTATATGCTGTACCCGCATTACCTGTGCGAATGGGTGGAGTGGGCTGGGTTCTGGATGGCAGCCGGATGGGGGTGCGCTCCAGCGAGGGCGTTCCTCATCAATGAGATATTTGCCATGTTGCCGCGAGCGGTGAGGGGGAAGCGTTGGTACTTGGAGAGGTTTGGGGAGGACAAGGTGGGAAAGAAGTGGGCAGTGATTCCAGGGGTGTGGTGAGGACGAGGACAGGGGACGACAGATGAGAGATAGACGAAGTGTACTGTAACTGTATGACGGGGTTAGATTCAAGGTAGACTGGTAGATGGCATCAAGTGCATAGACGAGTTAGAACTGTACTCGACGATATGAATAGCAGCCGACTGCAACAGCCGAAGAGTCAAAGTGGCGATGATGGTGTGTCAACTATGAATCTGGGACGATACTCTGAGCATCACGACGATGCCGAGTTATGAGTGTCATCAACTGGGGTATAATGGAGCTGCTTAGGCCAAGCCATTGCCACTAGCAAGCACGTCTTGCCATATCAGAGCAACATCCGGGGCCCCAGAGGAACATTGCATGAAGCGCACCGTGAAATGTCCGAGAAAAGAGAAGAGAGGTCCACGTTGCCGACTCCAACTGCCGAACCGTTTCTTGGCACGGACCACGGCCCCTCAAGCGCCCACCCCCGACTCCTTCAGGGCGCTCCAGAATCTGGCCGAATTACCCCAGAAATCTGGGGTACAGGGAATTCAATCTCATTAGCGAGGGAGATTTCTAATCGTCCTTGTTTTTGTGGACAGATTGGAATGCGGGATGAGGGAAAAAAACCTGGGGAAAGCCTGTTGTTTGTTGGCTATGCGCTACCCGGCCCCGGATGCCGGAGCGGACACGGAGCCGAATGTGGGCACCTCTGTTCGGAGCTGTCAAAGAGGAGAGGAGAGAGGCAAGAGAAGTTGGAGTCGATGTACCTTCCTGGAGAAGGTGAGGTACATTTTTCGCGGCTTTAATTTGCTGGAGAGCGACAGTACTTTTCGCGCGGGGAAAGAGGTTGGCTGGGTAGTTCCTGCGCTTAAGCTTAATCCACGTGGCTACCGCAGTCTGTGGCTAAACAATTTTCAGAACCTTGGATGCCATCATCATCTGTCATCCATCCATTTCATCTCCAACACTTTCCCCGCATCCAGTCCAACCCTACCAAAGGCCAGACTGTGGCTAGGCCTTGGTGCCATGGAACCTTGCCGGTCATCCCTTGATTTGGACTGACTCGGTTATGAAGGAACTGCTGTCAAGAAGCAAGGCACGAACGAGCTCTTTCCGTCTGGCTGCAGTGTGCACAAACAGCAAATATCAACTGCGACATGGCAACACATGCGTCGTCTCATTCTTGAGAACCCACACCACACGCGCGTCCATATCCCCGAGTCAACCAATCCCTCCCCCCGTCACATGGTGGAGAGCCAGCGTCCCTGTCGACGCCCAGCTCAGATCGACGGCCCCGAGGGAGATGCCGTGAACCAAGAAAACGCCCGGGGGGGAAACCTTTAGGGGGGACAGATGTGACGCCAGCCCAGCCCCAATATAATCCTCAGACGCTCCCTCATCTCTCAGCGGATGAAGCCACTTGTGGCCCGGATAGATCGAATTTGCGGGGGAGCCAGACAAACCCTGGTGGAGTGTGAGGGTCCCCACGACAAGGGGAGGGGAGCCAAGCGAAGCTAACGGCGAGATTGGGAAAACTCAGACGCACCAGGGCTGGACTGGGGGTGAATCAAAGTCGCAACCACAATGCTTTCGTTAGTTCTGCCGTGAGGGGAACGACATATCGACTCGAGAATCGACTGGGGTTTAATCCCAAGACGGTAGACCGAGGGCCGAAAGCTGCTATCGGGGCGCCGGCCTGTTTTTTATTTGAAGGACCCTGTCTGCTCCTCCCACTTGGATAGATCTGCAACTCGACAAACACTTGGACACTCAACCTCCACTTCTACCCCCGAGTTTTGCTCCCAAGACTCACCGGTTCAGGGTCATCCCTCTGTCGCCAGAGTCCAATTCTTTCCTCTCAGTCTCGCTGCAGCCCATCATGACCAACTCCGACAGGGATCAGGAGAAGGGTCTCGACGACCAGACTGAGAATGTCAAGTACACCGCTGGTACTGTTCACGATGCTGCCGGACACGGTCACGCAGCTACTGATGCGTGAGTTGAATTGGCGAGTCTCCTGGTGTTCCTGCTAATGAATATATCAGCTACGGCAACTCACTTGTCCAGTTCGACCCCGTCGCCGAGCGCAAACTACGATGGAAGCTGGACTTGATGACCGTGCCGACTGTCTCGGTTCTCTACCTCTTCTGCTTCATCGACCGAGCGAATATCGGTGAGTCACTCAACTCATTCTGTGATTGTAGAGTCTGACCTCTCAGGCAACGCGCGTATCGCCGGACTCACTGAGGATCTCAAGCTCGAGGGCTACGACTACAACAAGATCCTCTCTGTCTTTTACATCTCATATATCCTCTTTGAAATCCCCGCCACCGTTACTTGCAAGTGGATGGGCCCTGGCTGGTTCCTCCCTCTCACATCGCTCCTCTTCGGCATCGTCAGTATCGCCACCGCCTTCGTCAAGACTCAGGCCGCCATCTGCGGTGTACGATTTCTCCTGGGTATCTTTGAGGCTGGTATGCTTCCGGGAATCGCCTATTATCTGTCCCGCTGGTATAAGCGCGCCGAGTTGACGTTCCGTCTGTCGCTTTACATGGTCATGGCTCCTCTCGCTGGTGCCTTTGGAGGTCTCCTCGCTAGTGGAATCCTGAAGCTTGATCACTTTGGCAGCCTCCACCACTGGCGCATGATCTTTGCGATCGAAGGCATCATCACCGTTGGCCTCAGTCTCATCGCCTTTTTCTCCCTGACTGATCGACCCGAGACGGCTCGGTGGCTGACTCAGGAGGAGAAGGAGCTGTGCATTGCTCGAGTCAAGTCGGAGCGTCTGGCTCAGACCGAAGTCGTTGATGGCATCGACCGGGTCAAGCTCTGGCGCGGTATTTCCAACCCAATCACGGTCCAGATTGCCTTTATCTTCCTCTTCAACAACATCACTGTCCAGGGTCTCGCCTTCTTCCTCCCGACCATTGTTGGCACCATCTACCCCGACTACAGCACCGTCCAGAAGCAGCTCTACAGTGTGCCGCCGTACGCAGTCGGTGCTTTCTTTGCTGTTGCTTTCCCGGCTCTCAGTTGGTACCTCGACAAGCGCCAGATTTTCATCATTCTTTCAGCGCCGACGGTCATTGCCGGTTACGCCATGTTCCTTGGATCGAAGGTGGCTGAGGTTCGGTATGGCGCTTGCTTCATGATTGCGAGCACTTGCATGGTGCTGGGAACCATGACCAATGCCCATATCAGTGCCAACGTGGTGAGCGACACTGCTCGAAGCAGTGCTATTGGTCTAAACGTGAGTTTTCAGGATTGCCTTTATAAAATCGTTGAATACTAACATCATATAGGTCATGTTTGGCAACATTGGAGGTCTTATTGCTACTTGGTCCTATCTCGTCAAGGATGCCCCTCACTTCCCTACTGGCAACGGCCTTAACTTGGCCTGCGGATGCATGATCTTTCTTCTGAGCATCAGTGGCTATCTGTGGATGAAATGGGATAACAGCCGACGAGACAAGCGAAATGTTGAGCAGGAACTGGCTGGCAAGAGCCCTGAGGAGATTGCGAACCTGGACTGGAAGCACCCTGGTCACCGATGGCGACTGTAAGGACAAAGCATGAGATTGATACGAGTTTTGTTGGCGGCTCTTTGAAGCCCTGTCTTTGTTATCTTGTTGGATAATGCTAGCGGCATGTCATGAAGAATGGACTGATATCCACTCCTGATCCTTTGTTCCCCCTGTGCCTGATGATGACATGAACCAGCTTCCGTCCCTTGCTAGGCTCACAAAGACTAATCAGGATTACTCTCGCGACTCTTTGTAAAACTCATCGCAAAGCTTGTCAACCTCGTCGACAGTCAACATACGATCACCCGCCTGAGGCGCCAACTCGCGCCAGAGCTCTGCCTCCTCGGGGGTCATGGTCTCAAAGAGCCAGGTGGGGTCGGGCACTGGGTCGTTGATGCGGATGCCAGGAAGAAGCAGACGTTCCTGCTCGGTGAGGGGTTTGATGGGAGGAAGGTCATCCTCCTGCTCCTTGGTGTCGTCCTCTGACTCCTTGGTGCCATCCTCTGGCTTCTCGCTGTCGGCGTTGTCGTTGGCCTCCGTGGCGTCGGTGCCGGTGGTGGTGTCGGTAGAGGCAGCGACAGACCCGGGCTTGTCCTTGTTCTTGTTCTTCTTCTTTTGAGATCGAAGTGTCATGGTAAATTCGGTAGTCTTTCGAGGAGACCCTTTCTGGGGAGACCCTTTCTGGGGAGAGGATCGGGTTTGACGAGCGGCGGGCCGAGGGGGAGGTGGCATCAGAAGGCGATCTTCTTCAGCCTGCGTCTTGTTGTTTTCGTCGTCCGCCATTGTTCCTCGAGTCTAATACGCAGAAATAGTCAGCCAATATAATTCCTTTTCAAAGGAGACATACTTACGATCCCCTCTTGCAAGGTTGCGGTACCCTTGGAAAGGGCCGACGTGGTGTATCGACACTTGGAAACTCCCTCAGGCTTGGAGGAGCTTGGTTGGGATGACATCTTGTGAGAGAACAAGATGAAGATGAGAAATGTATTTGGGATGGAACATGTCACAGAAGCTTAATGCTGTTCGAGGGCGTTTGAATGCCATTGTCGTGAAGATGAAGCGTTGGTCAACGAATGTTGACAGTGGATGCTGAATAGAGACAATGAGCTGTATCGGCGAAAATTTCAATTAAGACTCCATCAAGAACATTTTTGTGATAATGGAACACTTTGTGCTGTTGCGTTTGCGCTGATGATTCCCGTTTGATCACTGGATACTCTCGAGGCGAACATGGCCTTCTCCCCCAAATTGGCGATGGCTTCACATAAGGGAGGGGTCTCTGATATTAGCATAGAGGGCCTACGTTTACAGAGCTTAATTGGTCGCTTGTCATTACCTGAAAAGAAAGGGTCTCGTCGTTGTTGAGTTGAGAGCTTCGGAAGAATATCTTGGGATTATAGAGAGATACCCTATACATAGATATAGATATATATCTAGGGATCCATGAGTGTCAAACTGTAACCGCGCTTGGAGACTGAAAGGCTTCATAACTACTATGCGATGATAGAGAATGGTTGAAATTGACTTCAGTAGAGATGGTTGTAAAAACGATGCCTCTGAGATTATGTTTGATGACTTCAAGATAACCGTAGCGGGAGTAAATAATCGTGGCTGTCTAGTGCAACCAGATTCAACTTGGGGAACAATGGAACCACTTGAATTCTATGCGCGGTCACTCAAAAACCTCAAAATAACAGCATTTCTATTTGAGCAAGGCAAGCTCTTCCAAAACACGCCAAGATGTACGGGAACCCGTGGTCGAGGCTCGAGGTTGAGGCATCTAACTACACAAGAACACACCACTCAAAAGGGAGGCTAAAGACCGTGAAATTAAAAATCACCCAACAGAAGGCATATATTTACTAGTCAAAACCGAGACTTTACACTCGTGAATGAAAGGTTCATGCTGCTAAAAAAACCGCCTTTGACGTCCAGCAAAATGCCCTCCATAACAAGGGCTTTGTCTAGAAACTCGCTCGCCATTGTTAAGCAGCGAGCCACCTAATAATTTCTCGGCCGAGCCGTCTTAAAGCAGCCTCGAGATGAAAGAATCAACGTGCCACGCAAACGCTTCAAAGACTCCGTGCTCCAGCCTTCAAATCATGGCAGCCCACTTGACCCACGACATTGAGTGCGTGTGCTGCACATTCATCTACGTTACCTTCGTACGTTTCTTTGTGGGCATCGATGGTTCGCAGGAACAGGATGCAGTAGAATTCAAGATGACCTCAAAAGTCCAACCGTGAGCCTACTGATCTTGTTGCATGCAGCCCGAGTTTCTTCGACCTCGTTGTGCTTTCCGATGCAACTACTGAAGCAAACCACACTGCCTAAACTCCAGACTTGCAAAATGAATAAAGATCACATTTTGTGTCCTTTCCCCTTGAGTCCATGTGCTCCTTCGTCAAGACGTCACAACCAAAAAAAAAAAAAAACATGGCTGAGCAGTGACGACCCAGTGCCAACCTCACCTCGACCAGCACCCGACCAAAGCACACTCCCCGACTCAAACGTATCTCTTATTTAGAACAACACAGCTTTTCGTCCTTGTTCTAAGCACTCCTCTTCCAATCAAGGAAGTGCGCTCCTTGTTACCAAACAAAGTCCCGGAAACAAAGTAAAGTACCGAAATCGACAATGCTCATGGGAGTCCTTTCACTCGTTTGTTCAGGCACATCCTCAGCCATCAACGCTCCAAACGATAATAGATAAACTACTCCCTCACCGAATCTGAACAATTTCCTGCATTGCTACCCAACATAGCTTCAAAGGCCTTTTTCGTCTACATCACCAAAAGCATCATCATGACCAGCACAACGCCGATTCCATCCCCTACTCCCCCCTTTAACTCCTCTCCCCTATGGTACTGGCACTGCGAGCGCTGCAACACCAACTACAGCATCTCCGTCACCCGCCGGTGTCTCGAATGCACGGCGACGGTCTGCATTGGGAAATCTATGTCGTCCCCCAAGGCTCGCCGCCGTCGTATCAACATGAACAAAATGATCCCGCTTGGCTCCTTTTACGATGAGTATTGGACCACGTACAACGACTGGCGTCGATTCCGAGGCGCATACGAAAAAGATCCGCACGGTTGGAAGCGCCGAACTGGAAAAGAACTTGAGGGCTCTGTGAGCAAGGAGCGCAGAGCCTTGATGAGGCAACTCGAGAGGAAGCGAAGGATCGAAATTACAGAGGAGAGAAGAGCAAAATTCATAAACGCGACATACTCGTGCGAGAAGGACTGTGACTATCCTAGCCAATGCCATCGAGAGCGGTGGGCTGTGCATACGCGAACGGTCTTGGGTCTCTATTGCCCCGGAGGCCAAGTTGTGGGAGGGGTGAGGCCGCCGTGTGAAGGCGACGAACCAAAGTCCCCCCTGTGCCGCCTCCTACCAGAGCTGGAGATGGACATCGAAGGAGATATCTCCATGACGAGCCCAGAGAGTATTGATGACGATGACGAGATTATCAACGCCTATGGGGTGGGTCAAACAACGATTCCTACCATAGTTATAACTGACGAGAACCAGAAATCTCACCGAGCAAAGAGAGTGAGATTCGTTTAGCAAGGAAGAACATGAAGCATGACAGTAGCTACAAGGTCATTTGAGAGGGGATACAGCGGGATTTCATTAATAGTTGACAAACCTCAATCATACAGCGAATTGACAATTGCACTCCAACCTCGTAACTCTTCACCGTCTCCGTGACCTGACTCGACTTGACTCGACTCAACCAGGAACTCGTATTCTCCGTGTCTACCTAATCCAGTCCATCAGCACAACGGTCCATGCCTCATCTCATACACCACGCCGAGGCGTACGCACAGCTGCTGTACACGGCTCTCGCTGCCAAAATGGCACACAGCGACCCGTCATGGCGTGGGCCTTTTCATCATCGGCGCCGGCTTCTCGTAAGTTGACGCCAAGACTCCACGTGTGCCTTTTCAGAGGGCAAGCACCTTCCATCGGCTATCCAAGCCGTCGTCGTTGTCGTTGTCGTGCCGGCATTCGTCCATCTTGCGGCGCCTCTTCGAATTCGAATCAAAGCATTTCTGCATTACCGTCCCATAAACCAGCATTCCACAAGACCCAAGCAAGCAAGCAAAGCAAAAACCAATCCCGGATCGATCAAGTCGTCGTCTTAACCCTCGAGCGCCTTGGCCTTCTTCTTCTGCTCCACCTTGAGCAGGAGTGCGCGGTTGATGTGTGGCAGCACACCACCGTATGCAATCGTCGCGCGGATCAAGGTGTCGAGCTCTTCGTCACCACGGATGGCAAGCTGGAGGTGGCGGGGCGTGATACGCTTGACCTTGAGGTCCTTGGCAGCATTCTGTCATGGAAATGTTAGTTTGTGCATTAGGCACTGACTCAGAAAACTTACGCCTGCCAGCTCTAGGACTTCAGCTGTCAGATACTCGAGAACAGCAGTGACGTACACGGCAGCCTTTGCTCCCACGCGCATCTTGTTCTGAGTGTTTTGCTTGAGGAAACGCTTGACACGACCACAAGGGAACTGGGAGACGCGCTGTCAGTAAACTCCCGGATGAATTCCAGAGTGCGCGATGCAGCCTCGCACACCGACTCGTCTTTGCTTGCGCATCCCGGTGTCCCGCATCAGCTCCGCACGCGAGCAATGTCGCTATCCGTCCCAGAACATCGGCAGCCCCTCGTTGACCCGTCGCATAGGTGCAGGCACGGCGGCAGAGTCGACAAATGAATGCGCCGTCGTCGTGAAAAGGTTTTTCTTGCCGTGCGGAGATGGTCGACGCGTCGAAAGGCGGATCGTGAAACTTGATATGCGTGGTATGCGGGACTTGGGATGCGCGCAAATCGATGGTCGAAACAAGGCCATCCTCCTCTGGTTGATATCGTGTCCAAAACTCACCTGAAGACCGGCGCGAGCAGAGTGGCTCTGCTGCTTCTTGGAGCCCTCGGCAGCACTCGTCTTGCCGCCGGAGCTCTTTCCACCAGAAGACTTTCCCTTTCCGCCCGCCATTGTTGGAGAGGTCGCGTAAAAAAAATCGGGAATAAAATTTGGGAAAAAACGGTTGATGGAAGGATGCGGATTCGAACGCGGTTTCTGATCGGTCGAGTCGTCGTGGGATGTTGTTGATGGTGGGAAACGCGGGATCGAGGGATCGTGGTGGCAGAAATTTAGCGGGTGCTGCTGATGTTGTTGCTCAGGCTCTGCTTTGCCTTGCCAGTCTGGGCGAGGGAGATCTGTCTGTGAGAAGGTACTTGCCTGAGGTACCTTGTCTGTAGCTTTCGAGCACCACTGTCCCGCACCTGCCTGCTAGGCTAGACAGCACTTGCCAAACAAGGACAAACGCTTGGCATTGGTTGCTGGGCCCGAAGTAAACCCGAGGTGGAAGCTGGGCCACCACCGAGGCTGAGAGAAAGAGGACGTGTGATATCGCGACTGTCAAACGTCGTCTTCCAGTGCGTGAGAGTCGCCAAAAAGGATAAAAGTGGAAAAAGGAAAGGGTGCAGACTTGCAAGAGACTTCTTCCAAGTTTCCAGGATGCCTGGCGGAGGAGCTGTGTTGGTACATACTCGGGCTCACCTTTGGACAAGCGGCAGTCTGATTGCTGTACGCCCGCGACGGGCCGCCGCATATCGACGGCTACGACTTGCCCAGGTAATCCTACTTGCAGTCATGCTTGCCGAAGCATGTACTGGGATGCTTCCCGAGACAGACGTGGCAGCTGGTGGTTTTCTGTCAGGCGAGAGTGCACACGGCTGCTCGATGGTTGATATTGGATGTCGTTGTCGGCGACAGTTGAAACCAAGGCGGCTCGACTTTGGAGACGATCGTGTCCCGCTGTGGCTGATGCGTGGCTGCAGTGGCTGCCGTTAGCCGAGCATTTTCCATGCAGGGGACCTGGACGAAACACCAATGAAGACACAATCGAGGTAGAGTCAAACTTGGCTCAACAGGTTTATGCTTTAAACTGAAAATGAGAGATAATTCTATAAATAAGTATATTTCTATTCACCCAAGATAACATGAAGCTACTAATGGATAAGTTGTGAAAGGTTTGTCTAATTGCCTTTCACGACCAATGGTCCGTCTTCTGCTTTACATTCCAATCAATCGCCAACCTCTGTTACCCAAATAATTTGTCGACTTTGGTGCACCAATCATGCGTTTCCCGTATTGCCACCCCAAAGAATGTAGTACATGAAAACCTTAATGTTTCTCTACTTACATATAAACGTTCGGATGCTTTGACCATACCATTTTTGCTGCCTACCCCGGTGGACCTATTCAATTCTACCCATAACATGAAGGCTGCATCATGGTAAGAAACACCTTTCACAATCCCCAAATGACTACTTTCTATTTACGCTGCATTGGTAATATGCGGGTAATCCAAGTGAATTAAATTTGAATGGAATGCAGACAGGGGGACAATGTCGTACTCGTCCGAAGCGGACGATAATGCGGCCGAATTAGCGAATCCTTCGGGCGAATCTCTCCAACTTGAAGACGGACTTGAATGATACGGACCTGTATACCGAGTTGATACGGACTTAATCTTTGTGATTATGAGATTTAATTGATGAGTTTTCTCCATAATGGAGAGCTTTGGAGGTATAAGAAGGTCGTCTCCCATCGGCTTGTTGGTGTTCAATGTCACTTATTCACTTACACCAACAACCAGTCTTACAACCAACAACACAACCATCATCACAACTACTATCATAATAAACAACAAAATTACTTCCAAACATCACCAAAATGTCTCTTCAGGCTCGCAAGATTGCCATTGTCGGCGGAACTGGCACGGTTGGCTCTCGCACCTTGACCTCCCTCCTCGACAAGAACATCCACACCATCACGGCCATCTCCCGCAGTGACTCGTCTGCCACATTCCCCGAGACCGTCACGGTCCTCAAGGGTGACTACTAGAACGAAGACTTCCTCGTCTCTTCCCTCAAAGGCCAGGATGTTCTCATCCTACAGCTCAACCCCATGGCCATGGGCGTCCAGGAATCGTTCATCCGCGCCGCGGCCAAAGCAGGCGTGCCATACATCCTCCCCACGGAATTCGGCACCGACATTGAAGCTCTGGACTTGACCCGCGAGCAACCCATCATATCGGGGAAGAAAGCCTTGCGAGACCTCGTGGAGCAGCTTGGAGTTAGCAGCTGGATCGCCGTGGTCAACAACCTCTGGTTCGACTGGTCCCTCAAGATGAACTGCTGGGGCATCAATGTCAAGGAGCGCAAGGCCGAGATCTGGAACGGCGGCAGCATCAAGGCTAACACGTCGACCCTCAAGCGTGTCGGCGCTGCTGTGGCTGAGCTCCTTAGCCGACCCGAGGAGGAGCTCTCTGCGTACAAGAATAAGCCGTTCTACGTCAGCTCCTTCTTTATCTCACAGAGGGAGATGTTCGAGAGCGTGCAGCGTGTTACTGGGACTACTGATGCGGATTGGGAGATCAAGGAGAAGGATATTTACGAGTTTGGGAGAGAGTGTGACGAGAGGCTCCAGAAGGGGGATATGATGGCTGCCCTTGAGAAGCTGTCGTCTTTGCTGCTTCGGGAGAGACTCGGAGGAAACTATAACCACAAAGTGGTTGACATGGAACGGTTTGGGCTCCAGCAGGAGGATCTGGATGAGGTTGTCAAGGGGGCTGTCGAACCTGCGCAGGTGTAAGTCGGCTTTCACTGCATTACCATAGATTTGCAACTAGAGTTTCACAACAATAACTTCACCGTCCTCCACTTCATGATCAATTATTCACACTGGCACAATAGAACACGGACATTACTTTACTTTTGAACTTGTAAATAACTTGCTAAATTTCATATCACATAATCTCTGATATACATGCCCTTACTTCCTCAAGTCGCCAATGTCAACCTCCTCGCTAATGTTGAACAACGTCATGACAGCCGAGTGATCCGACGTCCACTCATCCAGGGGGTGACCCGACTTGGGAGGCTTCATAACCCACGAGTCCACCACCTCGAGGCCAGCACCCATGTAGTAGATAAAGTCGAGACGCTCATGCGGCTCCTCCTTGCCCCAATCCTTGTTCCATGGCGTTATGGGTCCGTACGTGATACCCTCATCCTGGTCCGGGTCCGGGTGCGCCACACGGTACGAGTCAATCATGCCAGCTTCAGTAGGCTTCATCGACGTAGGCCAGTTGAACTTGCCCTGGCCGCAGTTCTTCTTCTTGCGCTTGTCGGTCCAGTCGAGGTGTGAAGGCGCGTTAAAGTCGCCGACGAGGAAGAGGGGCTCGATGTCGGCGGTTCGGAGGTCGTACTTCATAGCCTTGAGGGTATCCTCAACCTGCGTCGGTCGACCGCTGTCGTACTCGCGCTGCATCACCTTGTCGGCCTTCATCCCGCTGTAGCAAAAGTCGTAGGGTCCGTAGGGCTTGTAGTTGAGGTGGGCGACCCAGAAGTTGACCGTCTGCCAGTCGCCGTCCAGCTCGATGCGGGCACCGCCCGACCTGTTGATGTTGCCTGAGGTGGACTCGATGGGGTATTTGCTGAGGATGCTGTGGCTCACCTTGCTGGCCCAGTAGTGCCAGCCCAGAGCCTCAGCTAGAGCTTTGGCCCGCTCGCCGTCGCCGTCCTCTTGAATACCGATGATGTCGGCCTTGGAGTTGACAATGAACCGCAGCTGCTTGTCGTGGTAGTCCTTGAACTTGCCACCGCCGAACCACAGGTTGTAAGTCATGACCCTCAATTGAGGCACCTTGACTTCAGTACGGCTGCGCACTCCAATCTTGACCTTGAGGGATGCTAGCGAGTTACCGCGCTTGGCCCAGACGACGAATTCAGCCCCCTTGGAAGTCCTCCACGGCTTGCCACCGATGGTGCCGTCGGTGCTGAGCCAAAGCCAGTTTGGCAATGGTGTTCCATCGTAGAACTTGACTCCCTTATTTCCACCTCGAATCAGACCAGCGACCGTGGCGCTGTACCAGTCACTTCCACGGGCATCGGGGAGGGTAATCTCATCGACGACGAACTCAAGGTTGTGCTCCTCCTTCTTGGTAATGAAGACGTCAAACGGCGGTGCCAACCACACGTACTTGTCCCTGGCGTGGAAGAAGGCAGAATATCGACCGGGCTTGAGTCCTTGTGTCTCGAGTGTGACTCTGCCTTTACGTTTGGGTGCGTATTTCCATGAGACCGAGTTCTTGGTGTACTGCTCACCCCAGTTGGGGATCAGGCCTTGGCCTGCCTCGTAGTAAAGACCGATCCAGTTCTTCTCGTGCGGATCCCTGGTTTCGTAGTCAAAGGTGAAGCGCGGTTCGTCCGTAACGAGTTGTAGGACGCCTCCTTCGGGTTCCAACTTGTTGGCATTGGCGGAGAGGGTGAGGAAGAGGATGGCGGATATCACCGCAAGTAATGGTTTTGGGAAATACATGGTTCAACAACAATCTGCCTCTTGGGCAGAGCTTCTGTCGAACAAGTAACAGAAGAAGAGTTCAAAGGCCCCAAGATCAAGATCAAGTTCTGGGCCTCGGTGGTTTAAAAGCAAGCCGGGGTCAGCTGAGGGGAATAAGCAGCAGCCTACCTAGACGATGAGTCCCCATGTTCTCGATTGGATTGGATCTCTTAAGATCATAGAAAAAAGTGGTTTCCAAAAGGCCTGCCAAGACGCTCCGCCGCGTATTGGCGCGCCGCGTCAGCTTCCGTTGCAGCGACATGAGGCCACTCACGACTGTGCCGTCCCCTGGAGACTTGCCTGAAGCGGCCAGCCGTGCGAGAGGCTGTAAGTCCGAGCTTGCCTCCACACTTTGTTGTCAGAGACGGCTTGTCATTCGTCGATATAAGAGCTAGACGTAGATCCGAGGAGGAATTGTCGCGTGCTGATGCTTCTCCCTCGGATGCTTTTCGTATAATACAACTCGACTCTCTCTATCTGCGACCAACAGCCCGTCAGCCTACATAATGCGCAGCAAATGGGAACACCAATTCTCAAAAGATCAACACCTGCACGTCTCGTCTACGCAGTTCTAGACTCGAGGCTCTGTCCTCGTCGTCCGAATCTCGCATTGTCGTTGGTTCTATTTGCAGGAGGCGTCATATCATTGGTCCCCGTTGCAGGGAATCGGTTCCTTCTCATCGTCTAACGGTTGCCCGACGCAAATTTGCGCAGGGTGGCTGAGTTAACCATAGTAATATCCATAAACTCCCAATGCCGTCTCCGTCGGGGCTGAAATTTCCCTTCTCTAGGTTGAAAATCCAATCTCGTTGCCTACTTCATCATTGTAAACTACTGCTGTTTATGGTTTAAATACGAATAATACGGTCCTAGCCCAGCAGATAGCTTACCAGTACCCGAAACTTTGTCTGCTCGGTTGGGGGAATAACAGTCTTGCAGCATGGGCTTAAGGTTAAGGGCCGGGCCAACGAGAGGCATTCCATCGTCGCGGGTTTACTTCATACCAGTCGATTTATCCATTTACCCATTGGACCTTGAACGATCAGTAATTTGACTCGTCACCACGACGAAACTTGCTGGCAAATTTACCGCGGCAGAACCCCTCAGGTGAAGAAGGCTGTGCACGGTGAAGCCCAACCCGAGCTCTACCATACGATGGCTTGTGACAGGAGTCGTCAGCTCACTTGCTCAACTCGGTAACCGCCGACTACATAGGGTTGCCTTGCAGCGCTTGTCAGGCCCGAGAATTCCAGAACACCTATATGTATCTATCATAGTTTTGAAGAAAGAGGCACTTAGTTGGGGCAAAGGACAACACAACAAACAGGCGACGACGTACGTTGCAGAGCCGAGGTTGCACTGATGGTAACGAGCGGTGAAGGCCAACACCGCCTCAGTCGGTCAGTCAACCACCAAGAATCCAGCATCGTCAGTGCAGGTAGTGTTCCATAGTACCAATTCCTCAAAACATCGGCCGTACTTATCTCCGTGCCAACCACTCATCATGATGTGGTATTTGAGAAGCACGCTGCCCAGATCGAAAGGAATCTGACTCGCCACGTGCGGTCCAAGACCTCGCAAGGCCAGCCATGACAAGAATGGAATGCAGCTGGCACAGTGTTTGCCGCAAATCCCCTCAAAGACGTCATTGAGGCGTCTTCACCCCTGAGCTTGTGACGCTCATCTGGGCATAGAATCCGGACAGAGTTGACCTTCCAGGCATCGTGGTTGGAGCGGGGTCAGCTGGCTCCGAGCGGCGGCGTCGCTTGACGAGCACCGGACATCCCATCGCCGTACACCTCAAGAAGCGGAGGCGAGGGTCACGGACGGCCGAACCTGCAGGATATGCAAGAGCGGGAGGGCGGCAACACGGGAGGCCTGCAGAGAGCAGCGTGGTCGATGACCGGCCGCCTGGCACTCTGGGGACGATTTTCGCTTGGGCGTCACGCAGATCTTGGGCGTCGGTGCCTGGCGTTCGCCCAGCACCTGCTCGAAGCGGAGCTCGGGTGGCAAATGTGTCCTGGAAGCAAGCCGTGAGGCTCAAAAGCATGGATGGGGCGGCTGACGTCGATCCCCCGCCAAGCAGGAGAGAGGCTCAGCAGGTGCTGTTGCTGCTACATGTGCAGGGCGGATGCAGACCTACCGGTGCGATGTGATGCCTAGATATCCAAGAAAGAAGCGTAACTGGGTCAACTTGATAGAGGTGGGTGTTGTGAAGGACGTCGCATGACCGCGTTGCGGTGCGGTTGACCAGGTTTATCAAGACACGTGCTCCCGTGATGCTCAGAGTGGTGGGCAAGACTCTAATTTGAGCGACACCACTCAGCAACACGCGGATAGCATCCGATTGCCGGACCCTTCTGGTGGAATTCGAACAAAGAGTTCATCTTACAAAAGTCAGGGGCGCCAAGGCCGCGTGACTCTGCCGAGAGCGACCGGCGGCGCCATCGCAAAAAGAGATTGGGCCGGGGGGTGCTTGATGATTTCCCTAGGATTCCAGCAGAGGGACCCTCCGGTTCTAGGGGAACGACGCCCGGGCGAGGCGAAATAGGGCGTACCGCGCTAGTGGGCTTCTCGAATTTGAACTGACGAGGGGGAGAAAAGGAGATGATGATGATGGATGAGGGGGGCCCGGCCGAGTGGTGATTGACGACCATGACGGTGGCTCTGTCAATCACTTGTCACAGTTATTACTCCGGAAGGATTTCACGATACGATGGATGGATCTCTAGCTGTCTCATCACAGTGCGATCCACTGCCATCTGAGAAATATCGTTGGATAACCAGACAGGATCAAGGAACAAGGACCACAGAGGCAACAATGACAACGCCTCTCATCCGGTAACTCTACCATCTTCAACGACCCCTCCTCCTAGCTATCATCAACCCAGGTGGCCAATCTCCAGGGACCCGGGTCTTCCAAGGGCCACCACCGCCAGCCGGGCCTTGGCCTTTGCGGTTGGGACATGGGACACGAACGGCGACCCAAAGGACCGGGGAGAGGAACCCCCTGAAAGATCAGGCCCCCTGAAAGGACGGCCCAGGCGGGCGGGTTGGGATCACCCCGGCTTGGGAGACTTGGTGTAGAAAGAGGGGCAATTCTGGACAAGCAAAAGGGGGCAACGAAGTAATCCATCATCTGAGTTGTGTGTGTTGTGACGATAATCTTTTTTGTGCTTTGTTGTGGACAATGACGTGAGGGTTCACATATGAACTGGAGAAATGCAGAGACAGAAAAGATGGGCGTTCATCTCCTAGGTTACGGGCAATAGGGATCTCCCAATGTTTTCTTTTGTTTCTAACCCACCACTCAATGCCAAGCTAGAGGCACAGCCGAGAGAGTTCACACTGTACAACCCGAGTCTGAGCGTATGAAT